AGCACACCACCAGGGCTGGGCTCTAAGTAATCCTCACATGCCCTCTGGTTGGTTTTCCCGTGGGAAAACCCTTATTCCCCTCGTCCCTGTGTCCCACGGAGGGGTGACTGTCGTGTTTTTGCGGGTGGCTGCAGGGATACTGACGTCGGGTGACTGCTCCACCCGGAAGCTGAAGGAGCGCGAGCGCCGTGCCGGCAGCGCCGCCGCTCTGCGAGTGCCACCGCCCCCCACGGGGCCTGGGAGGAGGGCTCTGCCACCAGAGAACGCACACGGGAGGACAGGGGACAGCAGAAGAGGACACGACCAGCAGCACTCTGGGCCTGACTGCTGTCTGGGCTCCCAGGATCCCTGTTCGCTCCGGAGGGGTTGGGTTAGGAGGAGAAGCTCCGAGCTCAGAAATTTTATCTGCCTTAAGAGTCCTGCAGCCCTTCTGTTGTTCAGGTCGGTGTGGTGTTAGAAAGCTGGCAGTTACACACAGCAATCAATTAATTATCCTTTTTTACATCCCAGCCTCCCCACCGCCTCTGAAATCTGCCCTCGGCTCCTCCTGCGCCACGTGGATTGGCACAGAGGATGTATCTGAGGCCATGAGGAAGACAGGTTGTTGTGGAGGGGCGAAGTGAGGGAAGGTTGTAAGGTTTGGCTCTTCGAGCTGCAGTGAAGCTCTGTTCCTAGCTGGAATGTCTGCTCTACTGCCATCCCACATCTGGGCTTCAAAACCTCTTCCTTCAGCCAGCCCACCCTGGTTCTCTTCAGATTCTTGCCCTCCTCAGGGGTTGTTTGTGATCAGGTGTTGTAGTTTAGGAATGGAATTCTCCAATTTACTGCTCCCCCTGAAACACTCCCAACCACTTCCCTCCTGTGGTGGGATGGAGAGGAGAATTGGAGGCACAAAGGGTAAAGATCAAGAGTTTAGGTAAGAACAATTTACTGGGAACAGCTGTGAGATAAGAAAACAAACAGTAACAGCAACAATATCAACAACAGAGGCTACAAGAGAGGCAAACAATTGTTACCCCCCTGACTAAAAGGCCCCCCTTTCCCCCAGCCCCTCTGTATGGCAGGAGGTAGTACAGAATAGATTCCTGGTCCTGGCTATGGCCCTCCTGGCTACTCTAAAAATGAACCCTGCCCTGGTTATTCCATCCCCAAAAGCTTAGTTTTGTGGTAAATGCTTTGTAGCAGAGACTGTTGTTTGTCCATGCCAAGATCCCAGCGCTGGCAGTGGCTGCAAGGCAGATGTTCCCCTGGAAGTAAAGCAGAGAGAAGGAAGAGCTCAGGACTGCTGAGCTTCCCATGCCTCTGGCAAGCAGCAGAATGCCAGGGCAGCAGGGCAGGAGCTGAGGGACAGCTCTGTCCCCCAGGGGAGATGGGCACAAGAAACCACATCCCAGCTGCAGCTGTGGTGCAAAGCTTTGGTCCTCACCACTGCCTGCCTTTCAGTGAAATAGTTCTACCAGGGCATTCCAGGGTGGGCATTTTCAAAGGACAGGCAGTGCAGGAACAGGCCCTGCCTCTGGGAGCTGAGAGAGTGGCCACAGGGGCTCTGGTGAAGGGACCTTGGTGTAAAATGGTTTCCAGCAACTCTGTGTTCCCATTTATTACTGAGTCTTGGGGGGCAGAGAGGGGGAAACAACAATCAAAACCTGAGGTCTGTGAGTGATGGCCTTGATGAGTTAAGAAAAGTCTCTTGGGCAAGAGGATGAGCTGTTTGTTTGTTCCTCTGATGTTTGGACCTTGGTCCAAAAATAATGCCAAAATACAAAAATCCGTTCTGGCTCCATCCCTAGAGCTGGTCACCCCTTCTGAGGAGTGACCTCAGCTGCTTCAGGAGTCCCTTTAGGCAGGGTTGAGAGCTGGTCTGCCTATGTCACTGGGACATCTGCTCTGACTGGGGGCTCTGTGCCTCCTGGGACAGCCTTGGGGCACCCACTGTCCCAAAGCAGGCAGGTATGGCCCTGTCTGCTGTGCCCCTGCCCCCTGGCAGCTCCTGTGTGCTGGGGATGCTGCTCTCTGCTCGTGATTGACTCAAACTCACCACCACACACTGGTTTGTCGTTTTTAGCAAATGCCACAGTGCACGTGGCACCAGGTGCCAGCTGCAGGACAAGGCTGCAGGAGCTTCACCCTGAAGAATTTTGATGAGGTGGAGCTAATTCTCCTAAGGCAGCATCCCTGGAAATTCCTCAGGATTTCTGGAGGTTGTGCTGGGAAGAGTATTCTGTGCTTTGTCTCTCATTCCCTGGCAGTGGAGGAATGGTGGGCAGTGCCAGGGCCTCCCTAGCCCTGGCAGTGCCTCCAGCTGTGCCCTACAGGTTTATCAGTGCTGTGTCCCATGAATTTAATGCAAAACCACCTCAAAAAAACCTCAGGGAAAGGGCCTGGGAGCCCCTGGGGAGCAAGGGAAGCTCTGGCTCAGCGGTGCCTTCAGAACTGGGTGGGCTTTGCAGGGCACGGCTGGATGGAGACTGCACAGATTTAGGTCTGGCTTTGCTCAGTCTTAGGGTGGAAAATGTGGGTTTGGAGGGGTTCAGATGGTACCCCCAATAGATTGTAGTGCTTGGGAGCCTGGGAGAAGGGGACAGATGGGGCAGAGTGTGAGGGAAGGAAAAGGAGAGGCCCCAGGAAAGGTGCTGCAGGAGCCCAGCTGTAAAGGCTTCAAGGGGTGTGACAGCAGACAAGGGGGACACTGGGCTGGGAATTTCCTACAAGAGTGTTTCCCTGAGGAGGCAATTCCTGAACTGGAGGATGTTAAGCAGCATTCCTTGCTGCCAGGGTGGCTGTGCAGGCAGCAGGGAGCCTGGTGCTACCCTAAGGCAAGCTGTCTGAGGAAAAGAGTAATTGCTAACTTGGGATAAAAGAATAAAAACTGAGAACCTGTTTGTGGTGTGTGGGTTTCTCTGGAGGGAGATGGATTGTGGAATCATGAATTAGCTCCCTGATCTGTTTAGGACAGTGGGTAAATACATACAGTGCTTTCCAGCTTCCTCTCTCAGGCACAGGGCACTGGGAGTGTCTCATCCCTGGCTTCCCAGCCCTGCCTGGCTCCTCTCAGAGGGGTCATCCTTGCAGCACTACCTGGGTGGGGGGATGTGGGAATCCAGTGGGACCCCAAAGCACTCACCAAAGAGCAGCAACCCAGCACCTGTGAAATGCTGGAGTGAGTCCAGAGGAGGCCATGGAAATGCTCTGAGACCTGGAGCCAGGCTGGGAGAGCTGGGGGGGTTCACCTGGAGAAGAGAAGGCTCCAGGGAGACCTGAGAGCCCTGCCAGGGCCTAAAGGAGGCTCCAGGAGAGCTGGAGAGGGACTGGGGACAAGGGATGGAGTGACAGGACACAGGGGAATGGATTCCCACTGACACAGAGAGCAGGGTTAGATGGGATATTGGGAAGAGACTCTTATCTGTGAGGGTGGGCAGGCCCTGGCACAGGTTGCCCAGAGAAGCTGTGGCTGCCCCTGGATCCCTGGAAGTGTCCAAGGCCAGGTTGGACGGGGCTTGGAGCAACCTGGGCTGGTGGAAGGTGTCCCTGCCCATGGCAGGAGGTGGAAGATGGTCTTTAAGGTCCCTTCCAACCTAAATCATTCTGAGATTCAAGAGCTGTGTCCCTTCCTCAGAGCAGACAGAAGCAGCAGGCTCTGCTTGCTGAAAAATAAACATTTATTTACATCTGAAAAGAGAGTTAATGTGTAAAATGGTCTCAGGGGTGCTACAGCAATCTGGGACAACTCCTGTGTGACTCCAGCATGGCACAGCCTCTCCATGAGACACTGCAAGAGGCTCCCCCAGACTCAGGGAAGGGGCAGGAGCTGGAGAACCTTCTGTGTCCCTGTGCTGGAGAGCCCCAGCTGCCTCCTCCAGCCTGGAGGGGCCTTTTGCAAGAGAAAGGAAGGAACCTGGTTAGGAGCAAGGACTCAGGAGCACATCTGTCCTGCTCCTGAGGGTGACAGCAAGGACCCAAGGTGATGGTGGTGACTGCAGCTGCTCCTGGCTCTTCCAGGAGAATGCAGGACCAGGACAGGAGCTGGAAGCCAGGCACGTGCAGCCCTGCTCAAACCACTCTGCCTCAGGTGCTTGCCAAGGCAGAGGTGTCAGTGCTCCTGGGCTTCACAGGCTGCTTGGAGAGCTTGGGCTGATGCTTTGGCACCTCACTGGAAAGCAAACTCCCTGACTTGACTCTCAGCCTTTTGCCAGCAAAACAATTCCTGAGCCGAGCGTGGCTCCTGCCTGGGCCTGCCCAGCTCTCCCCCAGCGGAGGAGGGGGTGGTTGGGCTGCGAGCTGGACCTGGGACGCAGAAGGTTGGGCTTGGCTCCAGCTCCAGCAAGCTGATACTCTCAAATCCTTCACTCCCTTGGGACTTTGAGGCTCCATCCTTGGCTCTGCTCAGCGAGGAGGGGGTGGGTGCTGGAGCCACGTTCTGTGTCCGTGATGAGGATGGAGAGAAGGGGCAGAAGCAGCACCTCGCTGGGAAGAGCTTTACAAGGTGGGTGTGGATGTGTGGGAGCTGTCAGGGGACTGGGGAGATGGTCCTTGGGGAGGGCAAGGAGGGGGGGACAGGGATGCCTGTCCTGATGTATTGGTGCAGCAGGAGGGTTTGGGCAGAGGGGCAGCGGTGCCAGGCTGAACAAAGCCTCCCATTCCCACTGCTGAGGGTCAGGCTCCCTCCAGCTGCCGTGATCCCCTCCCACGTGTGCCTGGGGAGGTGTGGGTGGGAAGGGGGTTCCCCTGGCACGGCCGGTGGGTGCTGGCAGGGGTTGCTGATGGTGCACAGATGGTGGTGGGAAGCAGCAGGTGCTGCCCACGCAGCCCCCAAGCCCAGGCAAGGTGAGGCCCCCAAGGGGGCAGCGATGCCTGGCAATGTCTGGGGTGCCCATCTCCCCCTCGGGCCGCAGTGGGGGGATGTCCCTTCCAGCAGCTCCAGCGTGGCACAGCCAGACGCTGGTCCCAGCCTGGACGTGCCAGGTGGGCACTGCCCAGCACAGCTTCCCACAGCCCCCCACCCTGCAGCTGGGCCCTCGTGGCCGTCGTGGCCAGCAGCCCCTCTGCCCTGGCTCTGCGGGGCAGCCTCTGCATCACTGGGCACAGCAGAGCACCGGGCACTCGAGCTTCCACAGCTGCCACTTCTTCTTCATCTCAGACTTCACCTGACACGGAGGGGAGAAGGGGGGCTTGTCCCTGGCCACGCCCTCCCCTCAGGCACAGGATGGGATGGGAGAGGCGGGCAGGAGACGCTGTGGCAGGTACCTACCTCCTTGTTGGCAAAGCAGTACAGCACGGCCACCAGGAAACCCTGGGGAGAGAGCAGGGAGTGAGCCCCCACTGCCATCCCTCTCCTGGGGCTGGGACGGGCTTAAACTCCCCCCAGACCATTTCTGGGTGCTTTTAAGGGCTGAGGTGCCTCTGCCACCGCTGCCTCAGAGAGCACAGGAGGCACCATCGTCACACACTCAACACCGGGACAGAGGGTGGGAGGGATGGTGTCCCCCACCCCATGGAGGCACCACGGGGAGAGCAAGCTGGAAGAGACCCCCCCAGTTCTTGCTCCATGATGTCCTCAGAACAAGGATGTGTCACACTCCTGCCTCACCTGGAAGGAGTTGAGGAAGAGGGTGAAGAACACCTTGATGTAGCGCAGGATGCCCGTGGTTTGCTCGTCAGTGGCGAAGATGAAGACAACCTCGTGGATACCGAAGAGGGGGATGAGGGTGAGGGTGGCTTTGGCCAGCCTGGAAGAGTGCAAGGGGACCCTAAATCTCCTAGTTAAAGTCAGGGGGGTCATTTCAGGACGTGAAGGGTGGAGGAGCAGGGTGGGGATGGATGGGGAGTGGATGTGGTGTTATCCCAGGACCAGGGATGATCCACGAGTGGCCACCCCCTCCCTCCTTCCCAGCTCACCGCAGTTTGTAGTCAGCGTAGCCCTTCTGGTTGGCTCGGAGCTTGGCCAGGATCACCTTGAGGATCCGCATGAAAATGAGCAGGTTGATCTGGGGAGGGGGAGACAGTGCAGGGGCACACAGAGCCCAACACCCCCACCCTGCCCGTCACCTGCACCCTCAGGGCCTGCAGCAGATGACACACCCTGTGCTGCCAAGGCTGCTGCTGCCCTTCCTCCCTTCCTGCTGTCCCAAAATCCTGCCTAGGAAGCAGCAGGGACCACCCCCAGCCAGCCCCTTTCTCTGGAGTCAAACACCCTCCTTCCTGCCTGGAGCCTGGGGGTTGGCAATTTGCTGTTAAAACAACAACCCCATGTCCATTCCACTGATCCTTGGAGGCCAATCCACCTTCCTGCACTGTGCTGGGAGCTTCCCCAAGGGATCACAGCCCTGCCCAGGGCTGAGCTGCTGTTGTCCAAAAAGGCACAGGGGTAGCAGGTGTCCCCTACCAGGGAGGCAAGCAGGATGGGGATGCGGATGATCCACCAGTAAGCCATGTTCTCGTTCAGTGCCCAGCACCTGCCCAGGGAGACACGGAGAGCAGCACCATCAGCCCGTGCCAGGGGTGCAGGACGAGGCCAAGAGCTTGCCAGCCCCAGCCAGGTGGCTCAGGGACCCTCAGCAGCCTCTGTGCAGTCCCAGCCTGGGGCTGAGCACCCCGGGGGAACCCCCACCCATCCCCACTCACTCTGCGTTCTCCTTCAAGTACTTGGCTGCCATCCAGGGCACCACGAACACCACGGGGGTCCCTGCAAGTCACACAGCAAACCCTGTAAAACCAAGCACCCTCCTGAGATTAGAAACCGGCCCCAGGGCAGGGGCACCGTGGGGACCCCCAAGGTCAGCAGGGCCCCCACCCCGCCCCCTCCCAGGGCTGGTTTGGACCGTGGTGCCCCCCCAGCACTGGGTGCTGTGCCCTCCCCACCGCACACCCAGGTGGCCCCTACCCCAGCCCAGGTAGAGGTAGAGCCTGTAGTAATTCTTCTCGGAGAACACGGCCCCGATGAGCAGCTTGTAGAGGTAGATGGCTTCCACCAGGAACCAGTAGTGGTTGGCCAGGATGCAGTACTGCATCAGCACCTGCGCCACCCGGCACCCCAGCGCCGCCTGCCACAGGAGAGCCACCGTGGGGCTGGCTGTGTGCCCACCCACAGCAGCATGGGCACCCCGAGAGCCCACCCATGGGAGCACAGGCACCCCAACAGCTCACCCACAGGGGCACAGGCACCCTTGAGCTCACCCAGAGGGTGTGTGGGCACCCTGAGAGCTCATCCTGCTGCACAGGCACCCCGAGCAGTCTGAGATTTCAGCCACTGGGTGCACAGTCACCTCAGGAGCTCACCCCTCAGGTGCAGGGCGCTGCAAAGGTCCTGAGCTCACTCATCAGGAGCACAGGTACCCCAAGAGCTCACCCACAGGGGCATGGGCAGCACAGGCCCCCCAGAAGCTTGTCCCCTGGGTGTAGGAGCACCCAAGAACTTGCCTACCACATACACAGGTACCCCAAGACCATCCCTCAGGTGCACGGGCGGCACCAGCACCCCAGAGCTCACCCACCAACACGGGGGCACAGGCACTGACAGCCCCTGCTCAGCCCTCCCCCGGGGCAGGATCCCCACCCCCCTCCAGCCCAGCACTGACGGGGGTCCCCCTGGGCAGCACTCACCTCGTGGCTCAGCAGAGCCTCCCAGTCAGCCACCCTGACCAGCTCCACGCCCCAGCGCCGCTCCAGCAGCGCGTCCTTCACCATCACCGAGGTCGCCCGCAGCCCGAAGGAGGCGAACAGGTTGGCGTGGATGTAATTCCTGGTGCAGCGCAGGTTCCTGGGGAGCACCAGGGTCAGGCAGGGCACCCCTGGGCTCAGCTGGCACCAGCTGGCAGGGATCAGGGGCAGGGCCGTGTCCCCCCCCGGCTCTCCCACCTGAAGACGGTGAGGACGAGCAGGGCAGAGATGAGGGTGAGGAGGGACAGCGAGTACCCCACGGTGTAGAGCACCCTGAAGCTGACCATCAGCCTGCGGGCACCCTCCTGCAGGGGAGCACAGCATCCATGAGCCCGGGTGGGCAGCACTGCCGAGTGCTCGGGGTGCCCGTCCATCCCCGGCCAGGTGCCCTGTCCACTCTGCCCAGTGCCCGGGCCAGGGTCCCACCTCCTCAGCCGTGACCTCCATCTCCTCCTCGCACTGGGAGTAGTCCCTCCAGGGCTGGCTGCCATTCACCGTCACCCACTGCCCGTCGGCACCGCACCTGCGACTCACCAGCCCGTGTTTCACTGTGGACACAGAGCACCAGCACGTCCCCCTTGGGCTCCCCCAAACCCCTGTCCTGGGATGACAGGTCAGACCCTGCTCAGCCCCACAGACCCTCTACCAGAGCAGGCATGAGCAGGGCATAAGCTGGCCATGCTCCGTGCCCCACGTGTCCCCTTACTCCAGGTCTGCTTGCGGGTCTCTCTCCCCCCCATCAGGCAGGAGGGGAACGCTGAGAGCCTCTCGTCCCCAGCACGGCTCTGCTCTGGCTCCCAGCGGTGGGATGGCAGAAGGGCATCCTCACCTTTCTCAAACCAGGGCAGGTAGAAGGGGCAGGAGACGTTGACAGCGGTGCCGGGGCTCCCGTCGGGCCAGCAGGCATACATGTCGAACGTCCGGTTGCAGAACAGCCCTTCCAACGGCAGGGAGGGAGGAAAGAGCTGATTGTCAGGTGCTGCTGGCACAGCCACATCCAGCCCTGCCATCCCAGCACCCTGAATGGGCCATGGTACCCCACACCAGCCTCGGACCCGCCTGTGCATTCCAGCCCTGGGCATCCCATCCGAGATAGGGAGATCCTCGTCAGCCCTCCTGCTCGTGGGGGTGACCCAGGTTTGTGTACCCTGTGTCTGCCGTGAGCTGGGCGTGGCCGGGTACCTGCTGGGTAGGGCTCGCTCGCCATCCTCCTCAGACACTCGTCACGGTACCGCAGCCACTCCTCAAAGGTCTTCTCCAGCACCTTGGCCCCGCCGTGCTGCAAGCCCAGAGCTGGGTCAGAGCCTCCTGCCCCACCACCTGCATCCCCCTGGCAAACCAGTGTGTGCTGCATCCTCGGCATGGGCAGGGACACAGGAGGGAGCCAGGATGGAGCCTGCTCGCCGTGGCTCAGAGGCTGCCCCGTGGCCCCAGCTTGGCCCTCACCGGCACAGAGAACAGGCACATCCAGGCGAGCTGGACAAGGCTCCGAAGGTATCCAGATCCCAGCATGTCCCTCGTGGCTGCTCCCACCAGCCTGCAACCGGTGCTCCCAGTGCCAAGGTGCATCTCAGGCTGAGCTGGGGACCCGGATCCTGGGGAAGAGGTGGAGGAACGAGCATGGCTCGGCTCTGCTGGCCACCCACACCAGCGTGGAGGAGGAGGTGTGCTTCTCCTCAGGCAGCAGAGAAGATCCGGGGCATGTCCTGGGCTGCCACAGCCCCGGATCACTTCCCTGCTGGAGTGCCAGGCAGAGTAGCCGGGGTGTAACTGGATCGCACCTCTTGGATGAGCCTTGCCAGCTTCTACCCAGCGCTGCCGGCCCCGGGGCTGCGACGGTGAAACCGCAGAGGAGCAAAAGCCACCGTGACAGCCGACGTGACAGCCCCAGCGCCACCGCTGTCACCCCAGCAGGCGGCACTGGGTGACCTGGGAAGGGGTCATGGCTCCAGGGCCAGAGGCAGGGAGTCCTCTCCAGGGGTCCCCCGGGACACCCTCGCCCCGCTGCCCGCCAGAGGATGGGACGGCCCAAACCAGCTGAGCGCCATCACCTCCCGCCCCGATCCTGCTCGCAGAGACCCCTCACAGCCCAACCGGGGGGTTCGGGGGCAAGAGGAGCACGGGATCCCCCCCCCCGGGGCTACCCGGTCCTCCCGCGGCTTCCCATCGCTCCAGGCTGGACGACCCCAGACTTCCAGCACGGAATCCCCGGTCTGTGCCCCCCCGAGGACCCCCGACAGGTCCCACTCGGTGTCTGCGGGGGTCCCGCTGCTCCGCCGGGGCTGCGCCGCTTCCTCCGCCCGCTTACCCCACTCCGCGGTGCCGGCAGCCCGGGCAGTCCCGCTGTCACGGTATTCCCAGGATTACCGGCAGCTGTTACGGTGTTCCCGGTGTTACCGACAGCACCGGTGTTCCCGGTGTTTCTGGCAGCCCCGCAGCCCCAGTGTTCCCGTTGTTCCCGGTGTTCCCGTTGTTCCCAGTATTCCCGGTGTTCCCGGTGTTCCGAGCAGCCCCCGCTCCGCGAGGTGAACGCGGCTCAGACCGAGCGGTGTCTGCGGCGGAGCCGCCTCCTGCCAGCGCCGTGCCCCGACGGGAGGGGGAGTTTCGGGGGGGTTTGGGGGGTTTAGGGGGGAGTTCGGGGACGGCCCCGCCCCCGGGGGCTCGGGCCGCCCCGATGGAATCCGGGGGGTCCCGGTGCCGCTGCCCCCGCGCCTACGGAGCTCCGGCACAGACCCAGGGAACGGGGGTAGGGATCCAGGTCCGGGTCCAGCCCCATCCGGAGTCCCCGGTACAATGACAGAACAGGGATGGCGCTCCGGGTCCAGCCCAGCTGAGGGTCCCTGGTTGCATCACGTGGGGACAGGGATGGGGGTCCAGCCCTCAAACGGGGGGTCACAGGGATCGGACCAAGGGTCCAGACTCCTTCAGTGTCGCCCAGAGCCCCGTCCTACCCATCATGCAGCCCCAGGGAGAGTCACGGGGGTCCTTCACCTGCCCAACTTGGTGCCCCTCTGGCTGTCCCCTGGGCTGGGTGCTGCGAGGTGCTGGCACAGTGACAGCCCCTGGGCAGGCAGGGTGGGCTGCTGGGGCCACCCTCTCCTGGGGAACAAGAGGCTCTGGGGACAACACTGGATCCAGCACAGGGGCACAGCCCATGGGTCCCATCATCTGTCCAGGGAAACCCCAAGGGCAGGGACAAGCCGTGGGACAAGCCTGGTGGTGCTGGTCACGTCCTGCCAGTGGGAGGGAGTGGGTCTCTGCTGAGCCACCACCACAGGCAGAGCTGGGGAAGGTGGTTTTCCACCAGTGGAGCAGGTGGGGGACATTCCTCTGGGGACCCCCAAATACCAGCAGGCCCCCTGGGCTCCCACCTTCCCTCCAGTGCAGCCATGCTCCCCTCCACCCCTGCACGCTGGTGCTGGCCCTGCCCTGCACCAGAATGCCATGTTCATACTCAAAACAGCCTGAATGCACCAGAAAATGCATTTATTTTGCAAAAATAATGCTCTTTGCCCACTTTGCTGCAGTGGGCTCAGAGCAGACACATGAGTCAGATGGATGAGGAGTCACATCTCTTGCTCCAGCCATGCAAGCGTTGTCTGGTTATTCCAAGTGACAAATAATGCATTTTGGAGCAGCCCAGGGTAATGATTTGCTGTTTGGGGGAAAAACAAGCCCTCAGGTACCTCCCTCAGCACAAGCCAGCAGATTATGGACTTGGGACAAGGGCCTGGGCTGTCAGGACAAGGGGGAATGGCTTCCCACTGACACAGAGCAGGGATGGGATATTGGTAAGCAATTATTCCCTGTGAGGGTGGGCAGGCCCTGGCACAGGTTGCCCAGAGAAGCTGTGGCTGCCCCAGCCCTGGAAGTGTCCAAGGCCAGGTTGGATGGGGCTTGGAGCACCCTGGGCTGGTGGAAGGTGTCCCTGCCCATGGCAGGGGGTGGAACAGGATGAGCTTTAAGGTCCCTTCCAACCCAAACCATTCCATGACTCTATGATAACATTGTCCTGAGGCACCTGTGGAGGATGATTCCAGCCATGTCCCCCTTCCCAGACCCAGATATCCCAAAGAACAACCTGTGTTCATATCAGATGTGAATCCATCTAACACCAGCAGGAGCATGGGGTGGGCTCATCTCATAGGGATGTTTGGGACACAGCTGACACCGAGGAGACACAAGTGACAAATTTATACGTTAAAGGCAGGGTTCACCATTGGAGATGGGAAAATTGTCCCAGAATGGTCTCATGCACTGAAGGTGTTGGTGCCTTTGAGGCAACTTGAGAGCTGCAGGGGTGCTCAGGAAGGGAAGAGCATCTTCCAGGGTCCTCCAGCATAGAATCATGGAATGGTTTAGGTTGGAAAAGCCCTCCAAGATCACAGAGTCCAACTGTTAACTCAGCAATGTCAAGGCTACCACTAAACCAAGTGCCACATCTACCTGTTTTTTGAACACTTCCAGGGATGGTGACCCCACCACTGCTCTGGGGAGGCTGTGCCAGTGCCTGACCACCTTTTCAGTGAAGAAAGTTTCCTAAATATCCCATCTAAACCTTTCCTGCCACAACTCGAGGCTGTTTCCTCTGGTCCTGTCACTTGTTACCTGGGAGAAAAGTCAGTGCCACCACAGGCTAGACTTTGAACCAGACAACCCCACAGGGATAAATCCCTTCCTCGAAGGACCATTACTGGCAGAAACACCTTCTGAAGGCAGATTTCACTTTGTCAGGGAAATTCATCCCTGTGTATTATTGCAGGCTCTGCTAATCAAGCTGCTTTTCTACCCCATACAGAAGCAATTCACAGAACAGAAACGCTCATCAACACATCCCGACTCGCAATTATTCAGTGAACTTCTCAGAAAAGCCTGTCTGAGCAGTTACCAGGTAAGGAAATCCATCAGCATGTGAATGGCCCCGAACCAGCGTGAGGAGGGACAGGACTCAGTGCCTCTGATCGATTCAGCAACGCTTGCTGCTGCACTGGGAGGCTGCTGGGAGGTCAGGGGCACCAAACCTTTGTGGAGATGCTAAAATACAAAGTATTTTTAATATATTTAACATCAGCAGATGGTGCTGTTTTAAGATTAGTGCAAAAGCGCAGCCTGATGAGGTGCAGGCCCACAGGAGGGTGGAGCTGTTTGCCCTGGCATTTCCTAACCTGTTTGCCCTGGGACTGCCAGCCCACCCAATATGACCAGCTAGATTTTGTAGGGAATCAGCTGCTTGGACATTTATTCCCGAAAAATGCTGGGTTTAGGATATACTGAGAGACAAAGGACTTCGTAAGCACAGAGAGAGATGCTGTTTTGAGTCAAAAAAGAAAAAGCTTGTAAGTCACGGCCTAAGAGGGTGTGGCCCCAGCCAGCACCTTACAGAGATCACAGAAGACCTAGAGCTCTGAGCTTGGGGTTTTGCACAGTGTTTGCAGGACAGGAGCATCCATTTCCATCCCATTTCCATCCCATTTCCATCCCTCGGGCGATGAGGGGCCTCACTCCATCACAGTTTCATAGCAAAGGTCACTTCCAAGGCGCTGATTCCACTGCCTGTGATCAGTGACTGTGATCAGTGACTGTGATCAGTGACTGTGATCAGTGACTGTTCCCGGCTCGTAACGGCACTATTGGATTTGGCACTTACTCAGAGCAGCTGCTGCCCCTCCAGTGAGCCCCTGGGCACACGGGCTGTGAGTTTGGATCAGAGCTGACCAAGTCTCTCTGGTTTCCCTTGGGGGATTCTCACCTCATTCAAGCCGGCAGGCTGAAACGATAAGATCAAGAACTTCTCTGAACAACATCGACATTCACATCCTGCCCCGGGGCTGCACTCCCTGTGCTCTGCTGAAGGGCACGGCTTCCCCTCTTCCATATGGAAAGCCTTGGCAGGCAGTGCAGCATCCGTATTCCAGTAACCCCAGGGCCAGGAATTCAAGGGCAAATAAAGGGATGCATCTTTGATGTCCTCCCTGCCTGTGAGGAGCCTGGTTCAAACTTCTTCTGTTACCACTTATTTAAGAAAAATTTGGCTTTATCTGTATCCAGCTCTGGGGCCCCCAGCACAAGAAAAACCTCGTTGGAGCTGCTGGAATGAGTTCAGAGGAGGCCACAGAAATGCTCCAAGGGCTGGAGCCCCTCTGCTCTGGAGCCAGGCTGGGAGAGCTGGGGGGTTTCCCCTGGAGAAGAGAAGGCTCCAGAGAGACCTGAGAGCCCCTGCCAGGGCCTAAAGGGGCTCCAGGAGAGCTGGAGAGGGACTGGGGACAAGGGATGGAGGGACAGGACAAGAGGGAATGGCTTCCCACTGCCAGAGGGCAGGGTTAGATGGGATATTGGGAAGGAATCCTTCCCTGTGAGGGTGGTGAGGCCCTGGCACAGTTGCCCAGAGAAGCTGTGGGCACTTGTGTGGGCACAAAAATCCCACTGTTCCAATGATCCACAGGGAAAATGAACCCAGAAGTTTCCTCCCAATGAATCGATATTATATAAAATATTTGGCAGGGGCTGTCCCCTGCGGCCACCACGGGGTGTGGGCAATGACCTCACCGGGTATCTTCACCTCCATCCCTGCTGGCCCCGCCCCGGTGAAACCAATTAATGTAATTTAGGTTAATCATCATTAAACCGGGCAGGGTCAGGGCTAACCCCAGGTGTAAATCACTGCAGGGCAGCTTCACCAGAGCCTCCCACTGGCTATTTATGTGCTCACAGGGTAATACTTTGCCAGCTTGGGGAGGAGGGAGGTTGGTCCCTAAGATTTCCAAGGGGAAGCTGGGCAGGTCTGGAAGGTCTCCTTTGCTGCTTCCCAAACCACAATTAACGTTGCTCTGAGGAAGAGAGGGTTCAGTCCTGCCTGGGAATGCTCAGTCTGTGCTGCTGCATCCCAGCTCCTCCCAGCCTGGGAGCGTCTCCAACCTTCCCTGTGCAAGCAGAGAAGTGAAAATCCTCTGTGGGGTCTGTGGCAGGAGAGCCTTTGAGTGCCCCAGAAGTGGGGTGCTCTCTAGCTCTGCTGAGAACAGACAAATTTCCTCTACCTTTGACATCCTGTTTTGTAAAACCTACGGATTAAGAAGTTGCCTTGTCCCGCAGTGGGTTGTGGGTCCTTCCCAGCCTTCCAGCTGTCCCGAGTGTTGGATGTTTGCCACCTCATGGCATTGTGTGATGGATGAAAATGTATTTTTACCCTGGACTGTGCTCGTCAGGGCTCTGTTGTGCTCAGCAAAGCGTTCAAGGCACTCGGATCTGCCAGGGGAGAGACGTGCTCTGCATTTCCCTCTCATCAGCAGGTCTGAAAAGGTGCCAAAAAAATCACCCCGAGGCTTCCAACCCCTCTGGTGGTAACATGGCTTAGAGGTGAGGAAAAGGAGGCATCAAGAGTGCAAGAGCTGTGCTCTGTCACGGGGCAGGACATTCCAGGGGGGACTGATGGATGCTGGAAGCCCACCCAGTGGAGGAGATGTCAGGATGTTCCTTCCCCAGCACTATTTCATGGGAATTGCCCAGAGCCCAGAAGTTTGGGAGAAGCTGGATCACAGCACTCTTGGCTGTTTACCTTCAGCTTGCTGGGGGAGCTCCCTCCTCCCCCTCACTATGGGCGGGGGAGGGTGTTTTCTCCACACAACAGAGATTTTTTTTTTTTAGCTCTCAGAAGTGTCTGAGCTCCTTCTGCTGGGCATCACCAGCTCCAGGGGCTCACATGAGGGTACTCCAACTCCTGCTCTGCAGCCTTCCCACCCTGGAGCCTGGGATTCCATGGGCTCTGGGCTCAGTTTTGAGGAGTATTCACTTCTCTTTTAGTTGATGAATCTTGAAGCTGGGCCCTGGCTTTGCTGGCAGCGTGATGCTATTTTCTGGAGCTCCTGTAAAGAGAGGTTTCTGGCTCTACTTGTCATCTCTGCTCACAAAGATGCACAGACATCCTCATCAGGAGTATTTTTCTGATGTGACCAGGGATTTTCAAACACCTTAACAACCAGTGGGGGCACCCAGCCTGCAGAGAAAACAATATCTACCTCCTGCTCAGGGAGCCAAGGGGAACTAAGGGGGGCTGATAATTCCTCAAATCCCGTAACAACTGCAGTGCAACAGCTTTTGCTTGGAGGTTCTAACATCTTCAGGCAGAGGCAGCTGGCACAGCTGAGGCACAGGGAGCTGCTCAGGGTGATGCTGAGTTCACCCAGGCATCCTCTGGGCTCAATTCCACAGCTGAGAGCAGTTCTGCAACAGAAAAAGGTGGTTACAAGGAAGGGGTTGTTTCCAGGTGAGGTGTGACCCTGCTGCTCTCCTTGTGCTCACTCCTGCCTTGCTCTGGCTGGGATTCCTGCCGGGAGATGCAGCTGGATTCAGGGATCCTCTGGCTTTGCTGGGAGCTCCAGGGGAGGACTCAGCAGT